GTTTCTACTTTAGTTTTTTTTTGTACCACCTTTGCTATGCCTTAGGACAAATGGACACAATTCATGGTATTGTTCGAATGTGAACTAATGGCAACGTTAAATTGGTTGGCGCACACAAACAATGCCTAACGCATTAAAGTTAGTAGAGAACTTAAAAATTCGATCGCTTTTGATTGTTAAATAAGCAGTTTTCTTTACGTCTGGGTGTGTGTGTGTGTGTGTGTGAGTAAGCTCCCATTTTCTTACAAGAGTCTAGCGTAAGACACATGCGCACTGGCAAAATCATGTTTCCCAAATTTGACTGGTCCATTCCTCTGGTTGGTCATTTGGTTCTCTCCAGCGCGCATCGCACGTCCACACTGGACGCTATAACCTACTTTCTACTTCTTATGAGATTCCAAGTAGCCTGAATGCCCTGCATTGTCTACATCTTCACAATTGCCCTTCTTGGTTGGGTGGGATCGATTAGCACCGATGTCCACAATCACCCCTTCTTTGAGCTCAACGCCAATCCCTGTCAGGAGGACCCGGGATTTTGCTTTTCAGTGCCAACACCGCCCCAGGATTTAACGCTAGACAACTTTCAAAAGGAGACCGCCTTAACAGGTGGCGGTTTTCCAAGGGACTATATAGTACTGAAGTTGCAATGGAAACCCCCAGAAGAGACCTACGGCGAACTGAAGGGTTACCAAGTGTCGTTTCGTCTAGTTGGACCGCCAGAATTGCTAATGACGACCAAACCTTCCGAAGGCGAGAATGCGAAATTGGGTGATGGTTCACAGGTCACTCCCACCCACGCTGTACGACGGAATGTCACAGGAACCTCGTACACATCCACGCAAATTGATAACATTCGTGAGTTTAAAAAAGTGAATTTATTATACTTGAGAGCAATTTCATGGACATGCATGCATGTAAAAGCATTGCATTGAGTTTAAAACAGATTATGACCTTTACAAAGTCCTCTTATTTTCATTTCCAACCAAATAATAGGTGGTTGGGAATCCAGAAAGAGTGTTGTTCCTTATGTTGTAACTTCTATTCAAAGCTGCATCTTGCAACTGTATTGATAGTTTCTCCGGCTTTCCTCCGC